AGACATTTGGAGCCACCCTTGGCTGGAGAGGCATGTGACTGAGAGGATCATCAAGGCCATGTGTGAAGATTTCTAAATAGGTGCAGAATGTGTGTGGCTAGTGCAGAGCAGGGACAGGTGTGACTGTTGGGTCGGTGGGGGGAAGTCTTCAATGAAGGGAGTGATTTGAGCCATGAGCTACAGAGAGGCAGGCTTAGGTTTTGGATGGCAGCCTCAGCCTTTGAGCAAGTAACTTAATGTCTCCAAGGCTCAATTTCCTCATTTTCAAAAACCTCGTAGGATCGTTGTGAAAACGAAATGTGAGTCACTGGGCCCTAGGCCAATCGCAGAAGTTTGTTGTTCAGAAAGTGCTTGCTTCCCTTATGGTGATTCCTGTTGTGCTATTTAACTTGAGTTTTCATCGGGGGAGACTTTCTAAATAGAGATGTGTAAAAAGGACTTGCAAAGTAGAGGACAGGACCTCTGCCAAGGCTTGCGTGCAGGAAAGCAACAATTATATTGGAGCACCAAGGTCAGAAGCAGTGAGTCTAGACCCAGACTGTCTGGGTTCAGATCCTGGCCCTCACTTGCTAACTGGATGACCTTGGGTAAATTCCTTAACCTCTCTGCGCTTCAAATCCTCATCTGTAAAATGGGGCCAACAACAGTATTACAGGTTGTTGTGAGGATTGAATGAGTTACTGTACGTAAAACTTGGAACAGTGACTCAGAACAGTGACACTGTGAGCACTCTACATGTGTTTGCTTTAGGATTCTCACGTACCCTGAAGAAAGTCTACCCACATCTGTGTGGTTGAAGGGGATGAGAGACAACATGGGAAGGCGGGAAGGTAGGGGTACACCAAATATGGGTGTCGTGGGAGTGTGAGCTCTGCCGGAACTCACATGTGTTAAGTCCGGGCCCACATTCACCGCCCAACCTATATTGCCCATCCACTTCCCACAGAAAACATCTCCCAACTGGAGATTGGTGCTTTCCACGTACGTTTCCATGTACTGCATTGTATGATCATGTATGTGTTCATATTCTGCCTCACCAACTCAATTGTGAATTCATTGAGGAAGAAAAGAAAACACCTGTCCTAGGCCTAAGTTAATCCAGTCTCTTTTCACTATATTCTGCCATGAGTGTAAGAGGGATATGTGGGTGGATAAGAACAGCCTTGGGATCAGGCGGTCCTGCGTTTGAATCCTAGCTCTCTTACTTCCCGAATATATGACCTGGCCAAATCAGTTCATCTTACTAGATCTGTTTCACTATCTATAGAACAGAGACAGTTTTATCACCTACCTCATCGGGCTGCCGTAAAGATCGAGATGATGCACGAAAAGCATTTAGCCCAGAGCCTGTGGTCATAGTAAACATTGGGTAAGTGGTAGCTTTGATTATGCTCAAGACAAAAGAGAACATGGCTAAACGTGATCCCATCAGAAGCACAGTCTGTGATTTACAGTGGATTGGAGCAAAGATGGCAAGGTGAGGCCCCCACTGCAACAGTCCAGCATTGAAGTGAATTTTTGATCTATTATCTTTGGTCCAGGGCACCCCACCCCCCCAAGGCGGAAGCACCGTTCATTTAACCCCATGAAAATGACTCTCTTGGTTTCAGTAGCAAAATGATAAGTAACTACTATGAACTGTATCAATACCAATTTCCTGGTTGGGATATTGTGCTACAGTAATGCAAGAAGTTGCCTTTGAGGGAAACTGGGGGAAGGCTATATGGGATCTCTATTATTTCTTCTAACTAAATATAAATGTACAACAATCTCAAAAATTATTTAAGAATAAGTACCTAAATTAACTCTTATTTTTCACACCCACTCTTTTGTGGCCTTCTTTCTCTCTAATTCCTTTTCCATAGGTCTTGATTATCCCCGTGTCCTGCACACAACAGCACTTAAATTGAATAATATCGAGGTGCCACCAAAAATACAGTGAGAAAAAAAAATAATGGACCATAATTGAGTGTTTGGTACCTACCAGAATGGTTCAGAATACTTTATATATAATAACTCTTTTAATCTTTATAATAGCCCTTGAAGTTTTTATAATCCTCATCCTACAAACGAGAAAAATCAGGCTTTGAAAAATTAAGTAACTTGTTCAAGGTCGTGCCTCAGAGCCAAGATTCCAAGTTTACTGGGCTCCAAAGCCTCATTGGCCACTGTGCTTTGCAGATCTCATAAAATCTGAGAGTTCAGTCATTCAAAACAACATTTTAAGATGTATTTTTGATAACCATTGGGGTTTCCTTTATCTGTGCTCAACAGATTCTATAGACTGGCCCCCAGGAATCAAACATTAAGGAATGGCAAACCAAATCTCTCGCCTCTGTCAAGCCTTTGCCCAAATGTCTCCTTGTCCGTGAGACCTTCTGTGACCACCATATTGAATGCCTGCCACCCACCCCCCTGCAACCTCCCCTGCACACACGTACCCCTGCTAGGTGACCACTTGTCCCGGTCTGCCAGGAACTGAAGGGGTTCCTGGGATATGGGGCTTTTCACCTTTAAAGTCAGTACAGTCCATGGAAATCCTGGAGGAGCCGGTCCCCCTACCTTGCTAAGCCTACCTTATCTCCCTGCCCTGCAAGTCAGGCAGACATCTGGGAACAGAACATTCCAAGCAGAGACAATAGCTAGTCCAAGGCCTTGAGGCAAAACATGCTTGGTAAATCAAAGAAAGAGCAAGGAGGTGAATGTGGCTGGAGTGGAGTAAATGGGAGAGGAAATTATGACAGAGAGTGAGGGGAGGAGGCAGATCACGTGGTAACTTATAGTCTCAGTAACGACTTCAGATTCTAATTTGATTGAGAACAGAAGCCATCGGAGCGTTCAAGAAAAGCACTAACATGCTCAGACTTACATTTATTTTTTTTTATTTTTTTAAAAATTTTTTTGTTTTCAACGTTTATTTATTTTTGCGACAGAGAGAGACAGAGCATGAACGGGGGAGGGGCAGAGAGAGAGGGAGACACAGAATCAGAAACAGGCTCCAGGCTCTGAGCCATCAGCCCAGAGCCTGACGCGGGGCTCGAACTCACGGACCGCGAGATGGTGACCTGGCTGAAGTCAGACGCTTAACCGACTGCGCCACCCAGGCGCCCCTTGACTTACATTTAAAAAGTATCCCTGGGGCGCCTGGGTGGCGCAGTCGGTTAAGCGTCTGACTTCAGCCCGGGTCACGATCTCGTGGTCTGTGAGTTCGAGCCCCACATCGGGCTCTGGGCTGATGGCTCAGAGCCTGGAGCCTGCTTCCAATTCTGTGTCTCCCTCTCTCTCTGCCCCTCCCCCGTTCATGCTCTGTCTCTCTCTGTCGCAAAAATAAATAAACGTTAAAAAAAAATTAAAAAAAAAAGTATCCCTATGTTGATAATAAATTGGGGTGGTGGGAAGGCAGGGGCAGGGTAAGGGCAGAAGCGGGATGAAGAATTTGGAGGCCATCGCAATCATCCAGGTTGAAAGATGGTGACTTTGGACCAGGAGGATGGCAGTGGATAGAGTGACAAATGGTTAGAATCAGGCTAGCTTCAAAGGCAGAGTTGGATTTGCCGATGGGTTGGATGTGCGGTATAAAAGAAAGAGGGGAGCCGACAGTGATTCTTAGGTGTTTGGCCTGAGCAACTGGTGGAAAGGAGCTGCCCTGTGAAGAAGACCAGGGGGAGAGCAGGTTCCAGGGCACAAGTCAAGAGTTCAGTGTGGGAAGTGTAAGTTTGAGTCGCCTAGTAGAACACAAGTGAAATGCCATGTGCCGGTTTTAGATAGGCCAGTCTGGGGCTCCTCAGAGGGGCCAGAGACATAGAATCAGAGCCACCACCACCTGTGGGCTACATGCGATGTGGCGTCCTGTACAGGATCAAACAAAAACCGAACGTTACTGGAGAAACTGGCGAAACCCTAAGAGTGCAGCAAATAGTGATGTACCGATGTTAGTTTCTTGGTTTTGACAACGTACGGTAATAATATAAAATGTTGACATTAGAAGTAACCCGGGTAAGGGATTTTGGGGGGTTCTCTGTCTTACCTTTGCAACTTTTCTGTAAATACGAAAGTATTCCAAACCAAAGAGTTGGGGGAGGGAGGGGCGGAGGGAGCTAGAGAAAATGGAGAGTGAGCCATGAAAAGGACTAGCAAATACAGACACTTCTCTCAAGACAGTACAGTTTGTCTGTGGATGGTTGTTGGGCTTTGCTGAAATTCTACCACTACCACTTTCAACTTTCAACGGTTTGGCAAAGACCATTTCCCTACTTTTAAAGCAAATACTCCTGGGGCGCTTGGGTGGCTCCGTCAGTTAAGCATCCGACTTCGGCTCAGGTCATAATACTGCGGTTCCTGCATTGGAGCCCCACGTTGGGCTGTGTGCTGACAGCTTGGAACCTGGAGCCTGCTTCAGATTCTGTGTCTGCTTCTCACTCTCCCCTCCCCCACTCATGCTCTTTCTCTCTCTCTCTCTCTCTCAAAAATAAATATTCTAAAAAATTAAAAAGAAAGAAAGCAAATACCCCTATAGAAGGTAATCCATGAATCATTGTTAGTCATTTATACTTTAGTATAAATGAGCTTATCAGATACTTTTCTGAAAGCAAGTAGAGGAAGAAGGCAGGAAGTCGGGGTTTGCTTCCTTCATAATTTAATCTAGGACTAGGCATCTTGAGTGAGGCACTTTATGCATGTTTTGGTTTTGTTTTCATTCATTATATTACCCAAGTATAAATTCATCATTCTTAAGCCTGTTTCTTTTCTTTCTTTCTTTTTTTTTTTTTAATAGTTGCTTACAAAAGTAGCAAAATTGGGGGCAGAAACTTATTTCTCCCTTGGTTATGAGTGCTTTTAGGAAGTTACATTTTTACTACTTTGCTTCTGGCGGTAACCCAAGGGTAATTCACTTTAGAAAACCGTATCTGAAGCCCCAGATGGCATTGCCTAGCCAGAGGATGATGGTGGGAATGGCAGTCTCTCTGAAAATTGCATGTTCTTGCCTTATCTCACTGTCACAGATCCTAAAATTTTTATTTCTCCTGTTATTTCGGCAGAGCGTATGGGGTTCCTGGGAGTAGGAGAAAAACTCATAACAAGGTGAGAAGATCTTATATTTAAAGAAACAATTCTCTGCATCCTTTTTTTCTGAGTCACATACCATATTTGGAACTTTGTCATCCAACATTAATAAATGTCTTGTGAATGAAAGCAGTAAATATATTTTGAACTACCTGTATCTTAAATAAGAAAGTTCATAGTTTCTTAAATAAGAAAGTTCATAGTGCTGCAAACAACAAAACTTTGACTTTTCAAGGATGATGAAATCATACTTAAATAATCTTGTTTTAGTTTATCAAAGCAAAAACTTGAACTTCCAAAGGCAGAGGGAGATATATACTAGCCAATGAGGAACCATGCAATGTCTACTAAACTTTAAAATACAATTGAGTTTGGTGTGCCTGGGTGACTCAGTCGGTTAAGCATCCAACTCTTGGTTTTGGCTCAAATCATGATCTCGTGGTTTTGTGAGTTCAAGCCCTGCATCTGGCCCTGTGCTGACAGTGCAGAGCCTGCTTGGGATTCTTTCTCTCCCTCTCTCCCTCTGTCCCTCCCCTACTTGTGCTGTTGCTCTCAAAATAAATAAGTAAACTTAAAAAATTTTTTAATATAAAATATAATTGAGTTCATTATTTCATGTGAACTCATTTCCATAAGATGTGCATTGTTTTTTTTTTTTTAGAAAAAAAAATCCTACCGTAGTATCCTTTTTCAATTTATAATGTTGTAATGGGGCCTTTTTGATCTTTGAACGCCAAAATTCTCCTCAGCTTACGAGGCCTGTCATTGCCTTCAGGGCCAATTTATAGAAAAATGAGAACCTGCCCAAAACCTCATTAAAGAGAAACACAAAACCTTTTATGTTGATTGGATATTCAGCCTAAAATCACAGTGCTTGTGGAACCAAGGATCCTTGTGTCAAGTGTAATTTAAAATGCTGTGTTTTTACCTGGAAAGGAAAGGGGGTCCTTAGCTTGCCTTTACACACTGATCAGAAGGTTCCTTTGGCTTGGGTGGTTCATTTGGCTTGGGTGGCTTGGGTGGGTCTGGAAAAATGACACTTAAGCTGAGACGGAGCTTATTTTCATTTTGCACGGGGCTCCGCGAGTTATGTAGCCAGTTCCGCTTGATATAGACTAGCGCTTTGTGGAATATTTGCTCAGGGGATGACAAGGAGCCAGCCGTGCAGATGGATGCGCCAGGCAGAAGGTCCGGCAAGTAGCAAGCCCTTGCAGTGGGAAAGAGCTCAGCGTGTGTAAGCTGGGCTGCCAGGGGCATCATCCACCCTGCAGCCCGCTGAAGAGCCCTCCTGGAGTTACACAGTGCACAACCTCCGCATCTGTACGTGGTAGCCTTGTGTTTGAGAAATGGAAAACTCAGTGTGGATAGATCACTGTGAGGTGGAGGAGAGGCAGTGTAGACAGACTATTACAAGGGGGAGGAGAGTGGTATAACATGAGATGGAACAGTCAGGCAGGGGCCGGATCACATAGGGCCCGCATAGACCATGGTAATGAGCTTGGATTTTATTCTGAGATGAGAAGGAACCCAGGTAAGTTTTAAGCAGATAAATGACATGATCCAATTTACTTCTGAGATGACTCCAGGTTCAGCGTAGACAATTGTTGGAGGGGGTCAAAATAAAAGCAGGGAGACTGGCTAATAGCCCAGGTCAGTGACAGTGTCATGATGGCTTGGACTTTGGTGATAGCAGCACAAAGTTAAATGTGAGCTGATTCAGTATATATTTTAGAACCAGTAAGGAGCATTTACTGGTAGCATTCATGCCTGGTTTCTGCTGACAGCTACTAACCTTTGTTCTATGTCATAGGAAATCACTAAATTCTCAATCAAGGTCATCCCACGTGTCAAAGTTGACAGAGTCCTGTCTGTTTCACCTGTTACGAGAGTGTGCAGCTGCATCACAGATCCGGGTTTATTCAATCTGGATCATAAAGCTATGGTCTTACATGAAACAAGGGATGCGGGATTTATGATCGTGTTTGGTTTGGGTTATCAAGAGTCTATTTCCTGTCAATAGGAAATGAAATCATAAAAAATAAAACTACCGATAGGACTCAACACGGGAACTGCTGTATCATAATGACCGTGTTCCCATGGTGATCTCACAAGATATGCAAACACCCGGGGCCACTTTACCGTCAGCACACGATTTAGGAGTGACATTGAGTCCGTTGGTAGATGGTAGGCGTCTGCCTGTAGCCTCAGAGGCCTGCCGACAACCAAAAACTACCAGGAGCAGGATGCTGGAAGCTGCCATAGTATTCCACTAACTTGAAAGCCACCCTGATGCATGATTGTCAAAGATTTAGGAATATAAAAGAAAAGTCAAATTGAGCGCTTTGGAGGTAAGCAACTTTGGTGCTAACTCCACGCTCAACCTCAAGACCCATGGGCAGCCTAGAGGACAAAGTCACATTGGTGGACCTTGTCCTTGATTCAGGTGTCTGGTGCCTCCAGCAAATCAAGCTGCCCGTGCTTTAAAAATCTGTGGAAAGTAGCATCAGCCGTGCCACGGACTTGAACTTGAGTCAGGCCTGCTCGTCACGAGGCTCCTCTTTCCAGCGGAGCATGGTGGGTGGAGGCGTGCGACAGTGACTTCGCTTTGCTCTGAAGTTGGGACGCAGGCACAGCACACCATAAAGACAACAGGCAACATGACGGTGGAATGTTCGGGAAGAAGAAGAAAGCCTGGAAGCCAACCTGCTGTGTCCTGATTAGACTCCGGGTGGGTCGGCTCAAGCAAACGGGAGGCAGAAAGGACCTCGATCATTTTGGAAATCCGTGCTACCGACGGACAGAGGGCCGTCATCCAGAGGACAATTTTTATAGCCCGGTCCGGTGTCGGGGAGAATGCTGAGCCTTTCTGTGTAGGCATGGTCTTAGAGGAGAGCAACCGTGGCTGACGGGGCACCTTCTAATGAGAAGATTAGAAACAGAACACACAGCTTGTCCTGGCTGTGCCTCCAGCTGTGGAACCCAGGGCACATCCCTTAAGTCGAATTTCGGTTTTTCTCCTGTGTCACCAAAGATCACTCCTGAGTGTCCGTCCTATGTGTCGCTCGCTGCTGCAGCATTTGATACTGGTACCTGTCCCGAGCCTAAAACTCCTTCCTATCTGGTTCGAATGCAGATTCTGAATCCGTCGGACTGGGGGTGGGGCCCGAGATTCTGTATTTCTACCAAGTTTCCAGGGAAGGAAGGCAGGTGCTGGTGGTCCGTGGACCACGCTTGTAGTAGCACGGCCCTCGCCTAGTTCCTGGCACTTCGAGGCACGCGGTGGCATTTACCTCTCCCCGCCCGTCTCTGCTCCTCCCTCTTGGTGCCTTTGACGTTTTCTCATACCACTTGCACATGGCTCCCCGCACCATGCTTTAGTTAGCTGCTGTCTCCATGTCTCCCACGAGACTGCGAGCGGTTTGGGGGTAGACACTACACAGCCTTCCTTTCAATGTCATCCGTGCCCTGCGTTGGACCAGGTACATAAAAAAAGGATCAATCAATGTTTGATGAACTAAGCCTGTAAATTGGAAATCAGAACATCAGTGCTGCCTGCCTCGACGAGTTGTTGTCGTGAGCAAACGCCGTAATTTGGGAGAGAGAGCGTGGAAACGGATCGTACGGTACAAACATAAAGTGTTATTATCAATCAGCTTTCTACTCTGCAGCAGTTCAGACCCCTGTAGCTGAAGCATGTTGGTTGTGGCATTCGCTCGGGCTCTGATGATTATAAAAACTCAGATTCATCTATGATTTCAAAATAAACCACATTCTCTCCAGGCTAACAAGGGTGGCAGTCTCTGCCCATGGTAAGCAAAGTCATTAGAATGATGTAAATGAAAAGGGTGTATCTTTCACCAATCAATCAGTCGACCAATCAGTTAATCGTGAAGCAGGTGCCTCTCCCCAAGTGGCAGCTGGGCTTTCTTATCTGCCTCCCTGAAATGAGCAAGTGATGTCAATCAGCCTTATGCCTGTTTGGAGGTGGGGAGGCTGACGGGGGAAGGCGAGGTCAGAGGGTAGATGTGAGAGCAGTTCAGAACGAGGCTGGAGACCAAGAGGAAAACACCCACGTCTCTCTTCGGGAGGGGCCTGGGCCATGAGGTGGGGGTATTCCAAGTGGCTTGACAGCCACAGGCACCACCCTGCCTGTGCCATTAGCAGAGGTTCCCAGGAGGGTTGGGAGGGCACGTGCCTGAAAACTAGTCACTTGGATGGAATTCCTTCCTGGAAAAAAGTTACACTTGCGAGCTCCTGCTGCGATTCATCTGAAACCCGTTCGGGTATGTTTTCCTTTTGTGTTGCAGATGATGATGGGAGCCAAGAGCTCTCCCAGGCCCGCCCTGCTTTTTGGTAGGGGTGGGTCGGTGGTAGTGATGGCAGGCAGGGTGGTGGCACAAGGGGGCTGGGATGAGAAGCCTCTGTGTAATCCTTAGGTGTCTCTGGGCAAGTGTGGGATTCCAGCCAGTTATTTCTAAGTAGGGATGGGAGGGGAAGAACGTTAACGTGGAGGCCAAGTTCCTAAAAGCCAGCAACCCGGGGACCTTTAGCAAGGGGTGGCTAGTGTGTGACAGTTTGATGTAGATCGAGAATGAATGCCTACACACCAATAAAATAATATTGTAAAAATAATTTCGGCGATAATGAGGTTGAGTTCGTGGCAAAGAAAAATTGTAAGAAACCAAAATACAAAGCAAGCCATGTATTAAGAATGTTCAAAGTAAGTGGACTATGTATGTATGTATCATTCACAGAAGTATTAATTCTGGTTCTACGTGGGTGATTTTAATTTTCATGTTTTACTTTTTCTGTATTTTTCCTAACATGTATTATTTTATTCCGTGGGAAAATGTTTTCCTCAGAAAAAAATTTAGGGGCACCTGAGTGGCTCAGCTGGTTAAGCATCCAACTCTTCATTTTGGCTCAGGTCATGATCTCACAGTTCATGAGTTCAAGCCCCACCTTGGCTCTCTACACTGACAGCACGAAGACTGCTTGGGATTCTCTCTCTCTCTCTCTCTCTCTCTCTCTCTCTCAAAAATAAGTAACTTTAAGAATAATTTGTTTAAGTTTAGAAATAAATGAACAAACCAAAAGATTAATAGTAATTGTGAATTATGGAGTCATGAATAGCTGATATTTCTTAATTTTACTTTTAAAAAATGTTTGCCACTTGCATCCACGTGGATGGAACTGGAGGGTATTATGCTAAGTGAAATTAGTCAGTGAGAGAAAGACAAATATCATATGACTTCACTCATGTGAGGACTTTAAGACACAGAACAGATGAACACAAGGGAAGGGAAGCAAAAATAATATAAAAACAGGGAGGGGGACAAAGCATAAGAGACTTTGAAATATGGAGAACAAACAGGGTTACTGCAGGGGGTTGGGGAGGGGGGATGGGCTAAATGGGTAAGAGGCACTAAGGAATCTCCTCCTGAAATTATTGTTGCACTATATGCTAACTAACTTGGATGTAAATTTAAAAAAAAATAAAATTAAGAAAATAAAATAAAATGTAAAAAAAATTAATTAAGAAAAATTTTAAATGTTTATTTGTTTGGGGGGTGGGGGAGGAGCAGAGAGAGAGGGAGAGAGAATTCCAAGTAGCCTCTGTGCTGTCAGCACAGAGCCTGACATGGGGCTCGATCTCATGAATGGTAAAATCATGACCTGAACTGAAATCAAGAGTTGGACACTTAACCGACTGAGCCACTCAGGTGCCCCTTAATTTTACTTTGTGTATGTTCATGATGTTCAACATGAATACATACTGCATTTGTAATTTAAAATTTTAAGTTTTCTTAAAAAAAAATTTTTTTTAATGTTTATTTAGTTTTAAGAGAGAGACACAGAGCATGACAGGGGAGGGCAGAGAGAGAGGGAGACACAGAATCTGAAACAGGCTCCAGACTCTGAGCTGTCAGCACAGAGCCCGATGCAGGGCTTGAACCACGAACTGTGAGATCATGACCTGAGCCGAAGTTGGACGCTTAACCGACTGAGCCACCCAGGTACCCCAGATTTTAAGTTTTCTTAAAGTATATAATAGCAGAAGCAAATAAAGAAAAGTCCACATTGCCCAGTTCTAAACCTCAAAATGATCCCTGATTCCTTCCCCTTTTACAACCTGCACTTTCCTTATCAGCAAACTGTGTTAACTCTGTTTCCAGAATCTCACCATTTCTCCCCTTCCGCCTCTTGCCCGGCACCTGACTGATACTGTGGTAACCTCCTGATATCTCTGATTCCATTCTCTGCCCTCTACAATCTCTTCTCCACATTGTAGCCAAAGAGAGCTATTGACCCATAAATAGGGTCAGGTCTATCTTCTGCCTAGAACCTTCAATGGCTCCCCATTGCCCTTAGAGTAAAATCCAGACTCTTCACCCTGGCTAGAGCCATCTCTCCAACCTCTTCCCCTTGCTCGTTTCACTCCAGCCATTGTCTTTCCTCTCTTTCATGCCATTTCTTTCCATTTCCCTCAGAGGTTCCTTCTCCCGTCCACATCTCCCTAATTCAAATGGGCAGAGCTCTTGAAGTCCTGTGATGCACAGTCTGTTCTTTCCTCCCTAAGTTCAATCCCTCGGAAGCATTTACACTGTTTCAGACACCACTGCTCTGCCATTGCCTCCAGCCATAGAACTGGAAGGGTCCAACGCCTCATACTCAACATGGCTACCCCCTGCCCTCTACCCTCTTCATTCCTTCCTGCCCAGCCCACCCCCAATTGTCTGACTTCGTTCCTTCTGTGAATGGTCTCACTGGCCTCTCTCAATTTGGCTCCCACTCCTATTGATACTCTCTCTTCCATCTGGGGCTTCCGCTCCTTTACCAGTCAACTAAATACTCATTAGTATTTAAAGTCTCAATTCCTAGACAGTTGTGATTGACCCCCAACTCTTCTCTACCTCCAGTCTCTCAGCTCTGATCCAACCACACCTCAGCACTGTCAGGTTAATTTTCCTAGGACAGCACTACGGTCCTGACAGAGAAGGGAACACCGACTGTTCCCCAAGAACATCACGTCTCCCTGTCCTAATGGTCCAGGCACCATTCCCATCAACAGGGAATTTTCATAGGCCCCTCCTGGCAGGGTCCATCCACCCACCTTGTCCTTACACCCTTGAGCTCAGCTCCTCTGTCTCCTCATTTGCTCTAATTTTTCTCCTCTTCTCTCTCATTCTGCTGTCTGGAACTCAAAAGTTTATTCTTCATCATGCCAAGCCCTTTGACTCGTAACTTATCCCCTTAGGACTACCTTTTGACAATCAAAAGGCCTGAGAAGGTGTTGTGCTAAGTCAAGTTCTTTAGCTAGAGGCAGTTTTTTCTCCTAAAGGGAATTCTGTTGACTGCTTTTAATCTTAGCTGTGTATTTTTTCTTCCCACTACAGGGTGATGAAGGATCAAAGAGGTTCAGACTACAGTGGGTTATCAAGGAGACTCGACCTGGTCCAGGCCTATGTAGGCAGCAGCTTAGGCCTCCAGAGGCTCCCTGAGTACAGTGGGATCCTGAGAGAGGGAAGGCACCAGCTTTTAAGCAGGTGACAAGAAGAAAGTACAGAACTGGAATCCCTTCTAGAGGGAAAGCTGACCCCTGCCTTTAGAGAGAAGCAAGAGAGAGAGAACCACTAGAGAGAAGGCAAGAATGGAAGACCCAGAGGCCAAGAGACACTCTAATCATGCAGAAACCTCCTAGCTAAGAAGGTAAACCCAGCCATTTCTTGGGAAGGTGTTCCTAAATTTGCTTCAGCTGACATAATTGTTGTCTTAGTAAATATGCATCCCTCAGTCCTGGGAAGATTTAGAATTAAAGAGAGCTACCGTGAAGGAAATCACACCTCATGGTGTTATATTTTTATAGTAAAGAATCTACCTAGTTGGTATTTTAAATGCCTCTAATGTTTAAGGTTTTAAATACTCATATTTAATAGAAATATTTTAATTTTAGGGGCGCCTGGGTGGCGCAGTCGGTTAAGCGTCCGGCTTCAGCCAGGTCACGATCTCGCGGTCCGGGAGTTCGAGCCCCGCGTCAGGCTCTGGGCTGATGGCTCAGAGCCTGGAGCCTGTTTCCGATTCTGTGTCTCCCTCTCTCTCTGCCCCTCGCCCGTTCATGCTCTGTCTCTCTCTGTCCCAAAAATAAATAAACGTTGAAAAAAAAAATTAAAAAAAAAAAAGTTGAAAATAAAAAAATAAAAATAATAAAGTGTGTAATAACTAATTATTAAGGCTTTTGATTTTAAGTTAAAAATCTTTTAAAAGCGTATACACTATATTGGAATTTTTAAGAAAACACCATATGTGTTTATCAGTTTTATGAGAATGACTTAAGAACTTGCGAGAGTTTGTTAGTCAGAAAATTGATGTGTTTGAAAAACTATTCAAATTATTAAATTAATGAACGCAGTTTAAAACGATTAGCCAAGTGAAGCAGACATCAATTTACTAGATTTATAAATTGAATAATAAAATAGATATATTTAATGTAAAAGCTTCACCACAAATTTTTAATTTGAAGGTAACAAATATTAAAAAACCAAAGTAACTTTTAACATATATATACATTTTTAAATGTTTATTCATTTGTCAGAGACAGAGAGAGACAGAGCATGAGCAGGGGAGGGGCAGAGAGAGAGGCAGACATAGAATCGGAAACAGGCTCCAGTCTCTGGGCTGTCAGCATAGAGCCCAACCAGAAGCTTGAACCCACGATCCATGAGATCATGACATGAGCCAAAGTCGGATGCTTAACCGACTGAGCCACCCAGGCACCCCCAAAGTAACTTCTAAATAATCATTTCAGGGTAAAAAGTCTTACTGCATTTTTAAAATCCTTTCCTTTTCCTTTTTTTTTTTCATTAAAAAAAAAAGATTTTATTAAAAAAAATTTTTAAATTTATTTTTATTTATTTTTTAATTTGCCACCAAGTTAGTTAGCATATAGTACAACAATGATTTCAGGAGTAGATTCCTTAATGCCCCTTCCCCATTTAGCCCATCCCCCCTCCCACAACCCCTCCAGTAACCCTCTGTTTGTTCTCTATAATTAAGAGTCTGTTATGTTTTGTCCCCCTCCCTGTTTTTATATTATTTTTGCTTCCCTTCCCTTATGTTCATCTGTTTTGTATCTTAAAGTCCTCCTATGAATGAAGTCCTATGATATTTGCCTTTCTCTGACTGACTAGTTTCGCTTAGCATAATACCCTCTAGTTCCATCCATGTAGTTGTAAATGGCAAAATTTCATTCTTTTTGATTGCCTGGTAATATTCCATTGTATATATATATATATACCACACCTTCTTTCTCCATTCACCCATCAATGGACATTTGGGCTCTTTCCATACTTTGGCTATTGTTGATAGTGCTGCTATTAACATTGAGATGCATGTGCCCCTTCAAAACAGCACACCCGTATCCCTTGGATAAACACCTACTAGTGCAACTCCTGGGTCATAGGGTAGTTCTATTTTTAATTTTTTGAGGAAGCTCCATGCAGTTTTCCAGAATAGCTGCACCAGCTTGCATTGCCACCAGCGGTGCAAAAGCGATCTTCTGTCTCCGCATCCTCGCCAACATCTGTTGTTGCCTGAGTTGTTAATGTTAGCCATTCTGACAGGTATAAAGTGGTATCTCATTGTGGTTTTGATTTGTATTTCCCTGATGATGAGTGATGTTGAGCATTTTTTCATGTGTCGGTTGGCCATTTGGATGTCTTCTTTGGAGAAGTGTCTATTCATGACTTTTGCCCATTTCTTCACTGGAGTATTTGTTTTTTGGATGTTGAGTTTGATCAGTTCTTTATAGATTGTGGATACTAATCCTTTATCTGATATGTCACTTGCAAATATCTTCTCCCATTCTATCGGTTGCCTTGTAGTTTTGCTGATTGTTTCCTTCGCCGTGCAAAAGCTTTTTATTTTGATGAGGTCCCAGTAGCTTGTTCATTTTTGCTTTTGTTTCCCTTGCCTCTGGAGATGTGCTAAGTAAGAAGTTGCTGTGGCCGAGGTCAAAGAGGTTTTGCCTGTTTTCTCCTCTAGGATTTTGATGGCTTCCTGTCTTACATTTAGGTCTTTCATCCATTTTGAGTTATTTTTGTGTATGGTGTAAGAAAGTGGTCCATGTTCATTCTTCTGCATGTCGCTGTTCAAGTTTTCCCAGCACCACTTGCTGAAGCGACTGTCTTCATTCCATTGGATATTCTTTCCTGCTTTGTCAAAGATTAGTTGGCCATATGCTTGTGGGTCCATTTCTGGGTTCTCTATTCTGTTCCATTGATCTGAGTGTGTGTTCCTGTGCCAGTACCATACTGTCTTGATGATTACAGCTTTGTAATACAGTTTGAAGTCTGGGATTGTGATGCCTATAGCTTTGGTTTTCTTTTTCAAGACTGCTCTGGCTATTTGGGTCTTTTCTGGTTCCATACAAATTTTAGGATGGTTTGTTCCAGCTCTGTGAAGAATGCTGGTGTTATTTTGGTAGGGATTGCTCCTTTTCCTTTTCTTATGATACCATAGAGAAAGTTCACAAGGAAATTTTCCAACCTATAAAAGTGAACTCTTCTCAACAGCGAATTGCCAAGAAAAGGGCACTTGAGGCCGTGTGGGTAGGCAGCCTGGGTGCATTTAGCAAAAATGACACAACATACATCCTGACTTCTCACCCTCTTGCCAGACTGGTTTCTCGGTTTGCTTGCAGGCCTTCAGCTAAATATCCTTGCATTATCTCAGACTTGCATTTCACAAACTTAGTTCATCCCTTCTTTATCCTCACTTGTCTGCTCTTGGCCTCAGCTGAAGGGCTTCCCTGCAGAAATAACGTGTTTATTGCACCTATCAGCCCAGCTCAGCAGGCTGGAAACCCTGTAGTGGTTTCTCACTCTTCCCTCCCCTTCCCCGCTCCTCTAATCCACCATTCTCCATGAGCCTTTCTCTGCAAGGTCCACCTTCCTTCCCGTTTCCTCAGTCACCACTGCAGTCTCTGGCTGTGTCACCTTGCATCAGGATTACTGCCCTGGCCTTCGGTCAGTTTCCCCTGCCGCAATTCATTCTACACCAAGCTGCCGGAAGTCATCAAGATTTATTTTCATCTCGGATATTTTATTTGCATGAGCTTGTGCCAGCTTCTCAATATCTGTCAAATAAAACCCAAGTTCTCCTTGACATCTAACGTCTTCGAACAACTAGGGGTACTCCACATCTTGGCATCCTCAGCTTTCATGATTTCTTGATGGAGCCCCTTATTTTTGTCAAGCTAATTTGCTTGTTGTGTTGTCCACACAACACTGTGTCTACATGCACGTCTTTGCATACATAGCTCCTTGCCTCTGAATGGAAGGCTCAGATCCCTCTTGTTTCTGGCCCTGTGAACCTGATTTCTTCCTCTTCCTCCAAATCCTGTTAGCGCCCACCCAAATACGATTCATAATCTCCTTGGCATCTGTATACATTTCCATAACTAATTTCCATGTCTCTACATTACCCTCTAAAAATTCTTCAGTTTTGCATTATATCATTTTCTTTTCTTTTTAAAAATTTTTTTAAATGTTTGTTTTGTTTTTGAGAGACAGAGCATGAGCAGGGGAGGGGCAGAGAGAGAAGGAGACACAAAATCCGAAGCAGGCTCCAGGCTCTGAGATGTCAGCGTAGAGTCCGACCCGGAGCTTGAACTGTGATCCGTGAGATCATGACCTGAGCCGAAGTCGGACGCTCAACCGATTGAGCCACTTGGGCGCACCTGTATACCATTTTCTTAAAGAGACTATATAAGTTCTTCAGGGAAGGAATTTTACCAGCCTTGTCAACCACAGAGGATGAAATGAGATGGCTTATGTGGAAGTACTTTGTAAACTACCAAGTTTTATCAAACAGTAGTGTTAGAATAGCTGTGGTGTGGCCAAAAAAGCCAAAGATTTGAACTTAGGAGTTTGGCTTGGGAGCGTTGAGTTCACTTATGAGCTCTATCTTTTACCAGTTACGTTGTTTTAAGCAAAATTTAATCTTTCCTGAGTTCCAGTAACCTCACCAGTAAAATAGCCATATGATGCCTTACAGGGTAGAGGTATTTGTGAAAGATCAAATGAGTTGACAGCAATAAAAAACTTTTTGCAAACTTTTTTTTTTAATTTTTTTTTTCAACTTTTTTTTTTTTTATTTATTTTTGGGACAGAGAGAGACAGAGCATGAACGGGGGAGGGGCAGAGAGAGCGGGAGACACAGAATCGGAAACAGGCTCCAGGCCCTGAGCCATCAGCCCAGAGCCTGATGCGGGGCTCGAACTCACAGACTGCGAGATCGTGACCTGGCTGAAGTCGGACGCTTAACCGACTGCACCACCCAGGCGCCCCAACTCTTTGCAAACTTTAAAGCACCACATGAATGTATATTTTTCAGGAATGGCGAGATAAGCACTTGACTAACAAATGTTGACATAATGACCAACACATGTTGACATAATGACTCTAAAAGATTGCAAGATGAGAAGCACATACCATTATGGCCTCAGCAGCCACACTTCATAGATGACATATCACAGCAGATTGCAAGTAGCTTTTGTGATTCAAACATAGTAAACACCTCTGACTTACAAAAGAAATGAATAGGACTACAGATAGATGTTAGTGGAAGCAAAAGCATATAAAAACCACATTTCTTTTAGAGTAATTTACTATGATTATTCAATTATGAGGGACTATTTGAAAGGCATGGAACTTGTCCAAAGGCCCTCAAGTTCCGGGCACTATGTGTGAAATGCATTCAGTATTTGCTCACTCAACATTTTTTTGTCTTGGCAAATATTAATTGTATGCCAACTGTATGGCCCTATACTGTTGTAGGCCCTGGAGAAATATCAGTGAAGACGGTTCAAGTTCCTGCTCTCAGGGATCTTACCTTCTAATAGTAGAGAGATAAAATGTAAATAAACAAAATAATTATAGATTATAATA